CCCACTCTATTTGCAAAGCCAAGAGCACAAGATTTGAAAAGCACCAGAATTAAGTTGCCTGTGCAATTTAATTTTATACCTGCTGTTCTTGCATTATGCAGTAGTCTTTAATTGTGCAGTCACACACTCCTCACAGTCAGGTTCTCAGTTGGTGCAAGCAATGAACAGGCTGTGACAGAGAAAGGCAGGCCCGCTTTCCAGTCCACAGGTCACTTGTGCCTCAGTTTCTTCAGCTGGCAGACTGACACATATCTGCAAAGAGACCTTGGCCCAGAGCAAGGAGCACTGGGCTGTGCTGAGAGCCACGTTAGCTCTCAGCTAATTGAAAAATGTTGGGTGCATTATTTTCACCCTAGCTGAAATTTTCCATAGGAAAACCCATTGCTCTCACAACATTGTTTCCTGTGAACGAAATGAGAATGATCACATGCCATGTGGCAGAGTCTTCTGGTGCAAACTTGTGCTACAGCAACAGCAGGAGCTATTGGTTCAGGTCTTGTGTGACCCAGTTGCCCCGCACAAAGCCCATTCCCTGCCTGGACTATGTCACTCTGCATGATTCCCTTTGGATTTGCAGGGCTCCTGACCACAATTCCTATTGGGATGTGTGATCCACAGGATGGAGCAAGAATGGCCTGTAATTCACAGTGAGCAGAGTGGCCTGCTTTGACATTTACACAGCTTTGCCAATATGTCTGTTCTATGCAAAGTCTCAGTATTTCCAAACCTATTTAGAAAACATTGGCCCATGGGACAGCCAGTCTGCTTTCCAACCTGTTCCAGCGTTCAGCTGCTCCCAGAGCTGCGAGGTCCTGTGTGTGAGGTCAGAAGAAGTGAAGAGTGAGTGTCCTTCATGAGCAGCACTAGCTTATATACGGCAAGCACAGGAGCGTGCAGCGAGATCCGAAGGATGCCTGGGAGAGCCACGGAGGCTGCCGAGCACTCTTGCCACTGCTGCCTTGCAGATTTGTGGGACAAGGTTCCCTGAGGTAGAGGGGGGCTCATTAGAGGCCACTGGGATTTCTTCACTGCCCTTCATCGCAGGCTCGGCAACCATCTCTCTCTTCCTGCTGCTTAAGCTCAGTGCAGCCATCCCTCCCACTGCCTACCCCACTTCCCATGTAATCTGCTCATGGGGTGAGGCAAAGGAAAATTACCAACAAAGTAACAAAATGAAGAGGCTTATTAGCTGGGTATCCCCTGCGTCTTCCTGCTCATTAAATGTTGGAGGTTATAGTTGTGCTAAAAACTCTTTCACCTCCTGAGCATGCAGCTATCTCCTCCCTCTCCTTTCTCGGAGCAGCTGTAGCTTTTATTTTACAACAGCTAGAAAGGCTCAATCATTAACCCTCAGCACCCTCAAAGTGACTCCTCTGTGTTCTGCAGACAAATAAACCAAGGCACAGAGAAGGGGAGCAAACGCCCAAAGCCTGTGACAGTGCAGGGATGGAGAAAAAAAAGCATTTACAGAATCACAATATCACAGCATGGCCAAGGTTGGAAGGGCCCTCTGGAGACCATCCAGTCCAACCCCCCTGCTCAAGCAGGGTCACCTAGAGCACATTGCACAGGATCGCGTCCAGACCGGGTTTGAATATCTCTAGTGAAGGAGACTCCACATCCTCTCTGGGCAACCTGTTCCAGGGCTCTGTCACCCTCACAGTCAAGAAGTTCTTCCTCAGGTTCAGATGGAACTTCCTGTGGTTCAGTTTGTGCCCGTTGCCTCTTGTCCTGTTGCTGGGCACCGGTGAGAAGAGACTGGCCTCGTCCTCTCGACACCCCCCCTTCGGATACTTGTACGCATTGAGGAGATCGCCTCCGAGTCTTCTCTTCTCCAGGCTGAACAGGCCCAGCTCTCTCAGCCTTTCTTCAGAGGAGAGATGCTCCAGTCCCCTCATCCTCTTGGTAGCCCTCCACTGGACTCCCTGCAGGAGTGCCATGTCTCTCTTGTACTGGGGAGCCTAGATTTGGAGCCAGTACCCCAGGGGAGGCCTCCCCAGGGCTGAGGAGAGGGGCAGGATCACCTCCCTC